AGGTGCACTCCAGGAAAAAGGAGTCGTGGTGCCCCGGGAACCAGCATATGGCTATGAGGCCTCGTTAACAAATCCCCAAACCCCTGGAAGGTGTCTGGTTGGCTGAGTGGGTGTCCTAATGGCTCATACTGCCTCAACTGGCAAATATTTACTGAGCCTACTATGCACACAGGGACCACAGCTGTTCAGACAGAGCTCTGCCCTCAGTAGGGCTCAGTCTAACGGGTGGGTGGGCATATGTAACCCCTGACCAGACAGCAAGGCAGGCCAGGCAAGAGTCCACAGTGCCTGGGGATTCTCATCCTTACAGCCCGGTTAGCTTGAGCAGAAAATGCCCACTCTCCAGATCTGAGTTCCTCAAGTTCACTCACTGACAGGGGTCCAGAAACCCAGCCCCAAGCCTCAGTTCTGCCAACTCGCTGGCTGGGAGATCTCAAGCAAATCCCCCTTCCTCTCTGGCCCTGCTTTCCCCTTCTGAGCCATGAGCCATTTGGACCACATGGCCTCACGGGCTCATCCAGCCCTCTGTGACCCTTGTCCTTTCCCAGGAGGCTCTGCCTCCAAACAGGCCTCCTGGAGGAGCTGGTCTTCTGGGTGCACCAGCCCTTCCAGCCATTCAAGCAGGACTGAGCTGCCAATCCCTCTGTGTCCTTCCCCAAGCAGAGAAAAATCAGAGGCAGACTGCAGAGGCTCTCCATTGCAACATTGTTCTGGGGTATCAGGGGAGAACCCTGGGGTGCAGGACCCCTCAGCCTGGGCGAGCTGCCTTTGACCAGCAGACTGCAGAACCCACTCCCGGAGAGAGCAGGCCAGGGAGGACCAGGCCAGCCAAGCCAGCAGAGGCCCAAGTAACTGTCTCAGAGCACCACAGCTAGCCAGCCCAGTTTCCACAGCAGGACCACAGAGCAGGCAGGCAGCCCCACCCGGAAGAAACGAAAACCTCAAACTGGGCCTTGTTTCTCGTGCTTGCCTTTCCTCCATGAGCATCGAGGGGGGGCGGAAAAAAGCATAAAGTTACAAAGAATGTTCATAATATCCCCACTGAAAGCTCCACCGACTTTATAAATAAAAGAAATATACACAGAGGATAGAAAATTAAAATTGAACAGAATAATACAAAATGAAAAATGCAAGGCTCCCTTACTGACCCATCTCTCCACCAGGGTAACCACCTCCATGGGGAAAATTTCAGGCAGTAACTCAGGTCTAACAAAAGGAATCACACTATATGCCAGGGGGTGGCAAGCTTTTGCTATAAAGGGCCAGATACTATTTTAGGCTTTGTCACAACTGCTCAACTCCATAGTAGCAAGACTGTAGCCACCAGCAACATAAATGAGTGAATATGATTGTGTTCCAATACAACGTGATGGATGCTGAAATTGGAATTCCATATACTTGTACGTGGCACAAGATAGTTTTCTTTTGATGTTTTTCACCATTTAAAAACGTACAAACCATCCTTAGCTCACAGGCTGTGAGATGGGTCTAGCCTACCAGCCACACCTTGCTCAATCCCGCACCTGGCTCGTCCACTTGTATCTTACAAGTTGTCCCATGTTAGCACAGAGACCCACTCGTTCTTCTAAACCACTGCCTCGAAATCCATGAACATGTGGTACCATAACTGTTCCACACCTCTCTATTATTAGACATTTTCTTTGTGTCCAGCTTTTTGTTTTGAAATTATAAACAATGCTATAATGAACATCCTTACACATATGGTCCACCTTTATGAATATACCCCACGGGGTTCAGGCCTAGGGTTGAATCAAGGGCTGTGAACAGCTGTGATTTCTCTAGACATTTGCCAAATAGTCCCTCAGAAAAGCAGAATTTATTTCATGCTGCATGTGAGTGGGGACCTTTTTCCTCACCCTTGACAGCTCTGAAAGTCCCGGTGGACATTCTGCACATTTATCCTTCTCTAAGCCAAAAGCCTGCCAGCTCCCTGAGTGGGAGACTTTCCCACCTTTAGAAATCCCCTTCTGGCCTTAGTCCTGCTGACGCCTGCCCTGGTAAAGCTAAAGAGGTATCAGTCTTCTCCTCCCAAATGAGAATGTTGTCAACCCAAGGGCAGAAACTGACTGAGCTGACAGTTCAGACATAAGTGCCACTCAATTACCCGACAATTATGGAACTTCAAAACACCCTGAATCGGGCCGGCCGGTGGCATGTTGGTTAGGAGTTGGCTTGGGATGCCAGCTCTGAGCAGCAGGGCCCCAGTTCAGATCCCACATGAGGGCCAGTGACACTGCGCCCTCTACAGCTAAGATGGTGAACAACAGCTCAACCTGGAGCTGGGCTGCTGTGAGTCGCTGGCGCAGTGGGGCTGGCTGGCAGCTGGCGTGAGCCCCTGTGAGCTGTCAGCGAGCCGCCATGAGCGGCCGTCCAATGGCTGGCAAGCGACTGCCTCAGCCGGGAAGAGCGCAATGATAATACCAACATGAGCCAGTGAAGCGACGTCCTCCACAACTAGACTGAAGAACAAAAGGACAGCAACTTATCTGTTCCCCTTCCCCGATTCCCCAATGCTGTTCCTCTCCCCCAATTCCCCAATAAAATCTTTTTTAAAAAAGAGAAGAATGGACTTGCCCAGGGGCCCCACATGAGAAATCCTCTCCGCTCAGCTGCCTCTCTTGAGGAAGGGCTGGCCCCTGCTGTCCAACTCCCTTCATTTCACACAAAGGTTCCAAGGCTTCCTTGCTGGCGGTCCATCTCCCCGACTCCAAATCCATCCCTCTCCGTCGCCCCCTCAGTCTCCTTGGTCTGGCTCTAGGCAGTGGCTCTCCTGGGATGCCTGGACACACCGGTGAATTAGGAGTTATAAGCCTGGTCTGCAGAACCACCCAGCTGCCTGCAGCCCACACACCCCAGCTGCTCGTTTGCCAGTCAAAATCTAGGTATGCCTCAGGGAGCCTTGGCATGTGAACTCCAGACAGGTGAAAGAGCTGAGAAGGACTGCTTCGAGGAACAAAGACTGCTCCTGGGGGTGATGCAGAAAAGGGTTAACGGCGAGAACAGTACCATCAGGGAGCATGGGGAAGTGCTGGGGCGACAACAAGGCGAGCCAGGGATCCCCTTGGTTACCAATGCCTCACAAGGGCCCCACAAGCGAACCAGGCTCTTTGGAGAGCTGTCTGCCTGCAGGATGAGAGGGCCGAGAGCTGAGATGGATGTGGGCCCTCCACTTGCGCAGGTGGACAGTGAGCCCCACGGCTCTTCCCATATGGACTCTCTCACCATCCCAACACCCCACACCACATGGCTGGCCCAAAGGACATGACAACCAGGGAAGGAGGGTGAAGGACAGGAAACAAACTGTGTTACGTGCTTCCATGTGCCGGGAGCTGTGCCTAGTTATTGCACAATACGGCCAACTGTTTCATCTGGGACCCCTCCCTCAGCCTTGACAAGAGCCTGAAGGGATGGGTGGCAGTCGCTATCCTTATTTTAAACCAATGAAGGCATGTTCCCAGAGTCAGGCCATCCTTCCTCCCGGTCAGCACCCTTCTGGCTGCCTGACTTTCGACTTCAACTCCGGCCAGAGAGGAAGAGACGAGTCGGGTTCCAGACACAGCCTGTCCCTCGGCGGACCAGGCTAAAAGGCCTGGGGTGGGCCGGAGAGCCTCTCTGCTGCAGGCCACCCTTTCCTCACACCCCTAAAAATATAAATGCTGGCTGCGTGGGACGGCGGGAAGCGTGGGGCTGCCGTTTCCCTCCGCTCTGAAGCTGCCCATCTGTTTCCTGGGATAGGACTCCCTGCCCCTACCCACCCCCAGTCCGGAAACTGACTTGTTCTGGGGCTATAGGAAAAGGGAACTACACGGCTCCCTGCCCCCCCCCAGGAGGCATGGGCAGAGGCTGTCACTGCTACAGCCCCTTCCAGGCCTCCCACCCTCACAGCTCTAGCTGTCTCCTACCAACAGTTCTGGGCACATGAAGGGTGGCAGGCCCCAGGTGGCACTGCCCCAGCAGCACCAGTTCCCAGGCTCAGAGCAGCCAAGGGACTCTCTTCCCTTCTCTCTGGCCTGGCTGGCATCCCTGGCTGCCTGCTTCACTGCTTGTCCCAGCCTGGGAGGTGAGGTGAGGGGCTGACTTTCTGGGTAAAAGTTTGTGGAAAGTAAAGTAAAAAAAAAAAAATGTGGAAGGCTTCCGAGCCCCTGCCTGGAATCTCAACATGGTCATCCGCAAGTGAGCACTGCCCCCTGCTGGACATACCAGGTACATCCACCTGTGCCATCCTGCTCTAGGCGCCGTGCAGATACAAACAAGGAAAAAGCCCTGCCCTTGCCTCAGGGACTTACCATCAGCCCACAAAGCTAGTGTCCGGCAACTCGGGCTATGTCAAAGGCAACAGATAGTTCTACATCTCAGTCAAGATTCTTTCCTCGACTAGGCAGGCTCCTCTGAGCCATTTTTTTTATTAGGCCCATCTTTGAGCCTTGTCCTCAAGACCAAGAATCCCGCTACGTTGAGTTCGCCAGAAGCCCCGACCCCCGCTATGTGACCAGCCTGGGTGTCTCATCAGGCTCCTCATCCCCCGGCATCTCCCAGATGACGTCTGATCACCCTGCCTGTCTCCAGTGAGAATCCTGTCTGGACGCTTTAGCCAGGATCTCCCACCCCTTACTGTTAATGTTCCTTAGTAACTTTCCATCCACTGACCTCCACCTGCTCCTTGGCTATAAATCCCCACTTTTCCTTGTTGCATTTGGAATTAAGCCCAGTTCTATACTGAGGTCTCTTTTCCTTTATTGCAGTTTTTCTGAATAAAATCTGTTCTTACCACTTTAGTACATCAAATGAGTTTTAAAAGGAAGGGAGCAAAACCACATGGGCTGAGGCAGGCCACGTGTGCAGAATTTGGAAAGGCAGAGAGAAGCTGAGGGTAGCCTGGCAGGGGCCAGCCAAAGCCAAGGTCGTCTCAGGGTGGGGTGTGGGCAGTTGGAGGCCAACAGAAGGCACAGGGACACCAGAGGAGGAAGTGGGGTTCTCACCTGATGCTGCTCATTGCTTAAAGCCTTGAACTTTTCCTGCAGAAGAATCTGCTTCAGAACCCCAAGAGAGAAAACTGATCAAAGTTGAGGTGGTCTGGCCAAGGGCAAGGGGCTAAGCTCCCCACCCCCAACCCTGCGGGGCTCCTGGGCATCTCTGAACACTTGAAGGCACAGTGTAAACCAGAGCTTTACCAGAGCAGGCAATGCCCCTGAGGTTCCAAAGCATCTGGCCTGACCGGACATTCATGATGTCTGAGGAGGACAGAGCCACAGTGTTGAAGACAGAGGGGGAGTGGGGGCGGGGAGCCCGAGGCAGCAGCGGGCACTGAGACTGCTGACTTCCATGGCCAGCCCTCCGCCAACACCAGCACCTCAGGGAATCTCAGGGTCAGCACATGGAAAGTCAATCCTTCCATTCACCAGAGCACTCCTTTCCCAGCCTCCCCTCAAGCTCCGTCTACACTATCTAATCTAGCTCCTGGTTACACTGTTACACTGGTCTCTGTCTCCTGCGTCCCCCTCATACCAATGCACACGGGTGACTTCCCCAAACACCACAATTAAGGAAAACCCCATGCACTGAATAGAAATGAGCTGGCCCCAGGAACAGCAATTCTCTCATGTCAGACACTGCCACAAGTGTCGAGTAAGGATACTCACGCCAGGAACGTCCAAAAGCCTTGACACCAGCAGAGGCAACTTCAGGGCTGCCACACTCCCACTGACACCCACAAGAACATGGAACTGTCTCTCTGCCAAGGGTGCGGCAGATGGACAGGAGGCCTTTGGTTCCATGTGGGGTCTGGCGGCTTCGAGTCCTGGGAGCCTGCCAGAACTAGGCTCCATAAAGCTCTGTCAGGATTCAGGATCTAAAAGCAGAACAAGGGGCACCCACTTCATTCATACATTCAACCACCCTGTGTTAGATCTTGGGCATTACGCTGGGGCTCCTGAGGGATCAGCAGTCCCAGCTTCTGAGAGCACAGAATTTGATAAGCAGGTAAGGTGCCCTCACCACACACAGGTGAGTTACACTGTAACGTGGCCAGTGCTGTGAGGAAGGCCCATACCAGAGGCTGTGGCTGCCCAGGAGTAATTGTCTGAGACCAAAAAAAATGACATTCGGGTTAAGTCCTGAAAGACAAGTTTTCCAGAGAAAGAAGGAAATAACTTTGCAAGAAGGAGCAATCTTGTAAAGGTGAAAAGGCTCAAGGAGGGTAGCCGGTTGGGGAACAGCTTAGTAGTGAGGCTAAAGTGTGATGGGGGATGGGGAGAGGTAAGGCTGCAAAGTCAAGTCAAGGGCAGTGTCAAGGGTGGTGAGGGCCAGGGTGAGTTTTCATTTTAGAAACATGCTGCTTGGTGACCGTGTGGAAGGGGCCCTGGTGGTGGTGAGATTGGAGGGACAGGATAAGAAGCTGCTCTAGTGGGCCAGGCTGACTGGAGGAAGGGAATGGCAGGGTGGGGTGGGTTCCAGGGATGCCTGTGAGGTGGAACCCTAGGCAACAGGGGGTCTGGGTGCTTTCGGGAGTGGAGAGATTTGCCTCTCTGTCCCTGTCCCTGTAGATCAGACTGAACACCACTCTACAAATGCAAGCCCAGGAAGAGACAAGCATAAAGGGGATGCTGGCCATCCCCGAGACCAGCTGCTTGGTTTATTCCTCTGGCCCTCAGATATTGCCAGAAGTGAGTGTCCATGATAATATAGATGATGAACACACCACAACCTTCACTCTGCAGGTTGGGCCAGCAAAACTTCTCACTCCATCAGCAACAATCACTGAGGACCAATTACATGTAGTACTGGGTAAAGGAATTGCAGAAGATACAGCCATGCCTTCAGGGAATCTGCAGATGAGGTGAGCGACAGGAGTCACACCTGAAATCATTTGAGATGGTTCCTTCTCTGGGATGCACCTTTTTGATGATCACTGATTCAATTTGTTCATCAGTTTCCTTGCCTCTCCCTCTCCA